GGGAATTCTGAGAGATGGGAATTTATCCCAATCCAAGCCACATCCGGGAGCAGGATCCACCTGGGATTCCCACCTGACAATTTTGGGGAGACGGGAATTTATCCCAACCCAAGCCACATTCGGGAGCAGGATCCACCTGGAATTCCCACCTGGGATTCCCAGCTGGGAATTTTGGGAGATGGGGGATGACCCCAATCCAAGCCACATTCGGGAGCGGGATCCACCTGGGAATTTCAGGAGATGGGGGTTTATCCCAATCCAAGCCACATCCAGGAGCAGGATCCACCTGGGATTCCCACCTGGGATTACCAGCTGGGAATTTCGGGAGATGGGCATTTATCCCAATCCAAGCCACATCCAGGAGCGGGATCCACCTGGGACTCCCACCCGGGAATTCTGGGAGACAGGGAACATCTCAACCCATCCTGGGATCACCCAGAGGAGCCGAGGGACCGTCCCAGGTCTCTCCTTTCCAACGACCCCCAAACCCAAAGGGGGGTTCGGGGCGGGGTGGGGGGGAGATTTTGGGGTCTCTCCGTCTCCTCCACGTCCCGATCCGTGTCCAATTCCCGGCAGAGGCCAACGGGACGGTTCAGGTGAATCTCCGCGTCGTCAACCGCAACTTCACCGACGAACTCAACGACAACAACTCCCCCGAGTACAAGGAGTTCGTCAAGAACTTCACCGAGCAGGTAGAGGGACCCCCCCCGGGATGGGGCCAGAGCCGGGATTTGGGATGGGCAGGAAGCTGGATGGGAGCTGGAGCGTGTCCAGGGGGGAAAGAGGGTCGATGGATGCCGGGCTGGAGCAGGGAAGGGATTTTTAGGGCCCTGGAGTGTCGTGTCCAGCTCTGGGTCCCTCAGGTCAGGGAGGACGTGGAAGGGATGGAGAAGGGACAGGGAAGAGTGGCGAGGTTGGGAAGGGTCTGGAGAAAATTCCTGTTACAATTCTGATTCCATTATTCTCTGATTCCATGATTCTCTGATTCTCTGATTCTCTGATTCCATGATTCCCTGATTCTTTGATTCCATAATTCCCTGATTCTCTGATTCTCTGATTCCCTGATCCCATGATTCTCTCATTCTCTGATTCCATGATTCTCTCATTCTCTGATTCCCTGATTCCCTGATTCTCTAATTCCATGATTCTCCGATTCCATAACTCCCTGATTCCCTGATTCCATGATTCCATGATTCCATGATTCTCTGATTCCATTATTCTCTGATTCTCTAATTCCATAATGCTCTGATTCCATGATTCCATAATTCAATGATTCCCTGATTCTCTGATTCTCTGATTCCCTGATTCTCTGATTCCCCGATTCTCTGATTCTCTGATTCTCTGATTCCATAATTCCCTGATTCTCTGATTTCATGATTCCATGATTCCATGATTCCATGATTCTCTGATTCCCTGATCCCATGATTCCATGATTCTCTGATTCCCCGATCCCATGATTCTCTGATTCCATGATTTTCCAATTCCATAATTCCATAATTCCCTGATTCCCTGATTCCATGATTCCATCATTCCATAATTCTCTGATTCTCTGATTCCATGATTCCGTAATTCCATAATTCCATAATTCTCCAATTCCATGATTCCCTGATTCTCTGATCCTCTGATTCTCTGATTCCATGATTCTCTGTTTCTCTGATCCCGTGATTCTCTGATTCCCTGATTCCAAAATTCCATAATTCCCCGATTCCATGATTCTCTGCCCCCCGGGCTCAAGATCTCCCCGTGGATCACCCGGATCCACCCCACGGACTCTCCGAGCACCGCGAGGTCCCGCGGGGTCTCCTCCGGCTCCACCGGGATGGATTTTTTTGGGGGGAGGGGGACCTCCCCTAAAACCAGGGACACCCAGGAAGGGGAACGGGCCCCAAAATCCCACCCGGATCCCTCCTTCTCTTCCAGATGTACGACGTCTACAAGGCCATCGAGGGCTACAGGGGCATCGAGGTGCAGAGACTCAGGTGAGCACCAGGGTGGGGTCGACGGCGCCGGCGCTTTTTGGGGGGAAAAAAGGGGGATTTGGAACCAAAACCGTGGTTTTTTCCCCCCTTCTCCAAGCCCGGGCAGCGTGGTGGTCCATCACACCGTCATCGTGGCCCTGCCGGTGACCACCCAGAGCCAGGAGAAGCTCCACAACGTCACGGTCGACCTGCGGCAGAAGGTCGAGGCGGTGTTGCCGCAGTTCAGCTGCGAAGGTACCCGCGGGATCGGGGGGGGACTCTGGGGGCACCTTCCCACCTCCCCACCCACCCCAAACCCTCCGGGACACCCCCGGGGTCGGGGTGGGGTTGGGGGGACTCTGGGGGCACCTTCCCACCTCCCCACCCACCCCAAACCCTCCGGGACACCCCTGGGGTCGGGGTGGGGTTGGGGGGACTCTGGGGGCACCTTCCCACCTCCCCACCCACCCCAAAACCCTCCGGGGGGGAATTTTGGGGTGTGTCCCCCCCCTGAGACCCCCCTGATTTAATCTCTGCTCCAGACGAGTTGTGCTTCAACTCCACCGACATCTCGGTCGCCGAAGACCGGATCGAATTCAACGAGACGGGTGAGTGGAGGGGGTGTGTCCATCTGGGGGGGGTCCCACCCCTGGTTTGGGGTCTCCCCAGTTGACCTCTGTCCCCTCTCCAGCCCATTGCCAGAGCGAAGTGCCCGAGAGATACTGGAAATTCTTCTTCCCCAACCTGACGAGCTCCGGGTTGACCTGCGTGTCCAACTGCACGCCGGGCACCGCCGGCACCTTCGACTGCCACCGCGGGACGTGCCGGGTCACCGAGGGAGGCCCCCTGTGCTTGTAAGGGCTCAGGGGAACCTTTTCCTGCTCCTCCAAGGGTGTCCCACGGGGATCTGACCCTTCTGGAGGGTCTCCGGGGCTGAAAACACCTCGGGGTTGGAGGAGGGTCTTGGTTCACAAGGATCCAACCCTCTGGTGGATCTTCAGGGCTAAAAACCCCTCAGGGTTGGAGGAGGGTCTTGTCCTCATGGATCCAACCTTCTGGTGGATCTCCATGGTCACCTCCATGGCTAAAAACCCCTCAGGGTTGGAGGGGGATCATGGTCCTCATGGATCCAACCTTTTGGTGGATCTCCATGGCTAAAAACCCCTCAGGGTTGGAGCAGGGTCTTGTCCTCATGGATCCAACCTTCTGGTGGATCTCCATGACCATCTCCCAGGTTTTGGCAGGATCTTGATCCTCATGGATCCAACCTTTTGGTGGATCTCCATGACCATCTCCATGACCAACCCCCCAGGTTTTAGCAGGATCTTGATCCACATGGATCCAACCTCCTGGAGGATCTCCATGGTCACCTCCAGGGTTAAAATCCCCCAAGGAGGAGCAGAATCTTGATCATCATGGATCCAGCCTTCTGGTGGATCTCCACGACCATCTCCAGCCCCAAACCCCTTGGGGTTTTAGCAGGATCTTGGTCCATATGGATCCAACCTTTTGGTGGATCTCCATGACCATCTCCAGCACCAACCCCCCAGATTTTGGCAGGATCTTGGTCCTCATGGATCCAACCTTTTGGTGGATCTCCATGGCTAAAAACCCCTCAGGGTTGGAGGAGGGTCTTGTCCTCATGGATCCAAGCTTCTGGTGGATCTCCATGGTCACCCCCAACACCAAACCCCCCAGGTTTTGGCAGGATCTTGGTCCACACGGATCCAACTTTTTGGTGGATCTCCACGACCATCTCCAGCCCCAACCCCCCCAGATTTTAGCAGTATCTTCGCTCCAAGACATCCCACAATCGTGTTGGGGGGGGAAGAAGGGAGGGGGTTTCTTCTGGTGGTCCCAGCTTTGGGTTCACCCCTCCCACCTCGTGTGTCCCCCCCCTCCCAGTTGCGACGAGACCAACCTCTACTGGTACCAAGGCAACCGTTGCGCGTCGCGGGTCAGCAAGTTGGGCGTGGGCCTGGGCGTGGCCGTGGCCGTCCTGGCCGTCACCGTCGCCGTCCTCGCCTTCTTCCTCTTCCGGGCCCGGAGGTCCCACCTGTCCCACGGGTGAGGGGGATGGACTGGGATGGACTGGGATGGGATTTGGAGGGACTGGGTGGGACTGGGATGGACTGGGATGGGATTTGGAGGGACTGGGAGGGACCGGGAGGGGACTGGGAGAGATTGGAGGGGACTGGGTGGGACTGGGAGGGGACTGGGAAGGGATTTGGAGGGACTGGAAGGGACTGGGGAGGGATTTGGAGGGACTGGGAGGGGATTTGAAGGGACTGGGAGGGACCGGGAGGGGACTGGGGAGGGATTTGGAGGGACTGCGTGGGACAGGGAGGGGACTGGAGAGGGATTTGGAGGGACTGGGAGGGACTGGGATGGGATTTGGAGGGACTGGGATGTAGTGGGAGGGGACTGGGATATACTGGGATGGACTGGGATATAATGGGATGTACTGGCGGGAGGATTGGGAGGGACTGGGAGGGACTGGGAGGGGATTGGGATATACTGGGATGGACTGGGATATAGTGGGATGGACTTGGAGGGGATGAAGAGGGACTGGGAGGGACTGAGATATACTGGGAGGGACTGGGATATAATGGGATATACTGGGGGAGAGACTGGGATAGAATGGGAGGAGACTGAGGTATACTGGGGCATACTGGGATATAGTGCGATGGACTGGGGAGGTACTGGGATGTACTGGGATGTAATGGGACCCCCTGAGACCCCCCCCGTGTCCATCAGGGAGCGGATGATGATGGACCAGTGGTACCAGGACAGCAGCGAGGAGTGGGACCGCCCGGGGAGCATCACCTTCCACAACCGAGGTGGGATAGGCTGGGAGAAGACTGGGATATACTGGGGTATACTGGGATATAGTGGGCTGGACTGGGAGGGAACTGGGATATACTGGGATGTACTGGGATATACTGAGAGGGGGACTGGGAGGGAACTGAGATATACTGGGATATAGTGGGCTGGACTGGGAGGGAACTGGGATATACTGGGATATAGTGGGATATACTGAGAGGGGGACTGGGAGGGAACTGAGATATACTGGGATATAGTGGGCTGGACTGGGAGGGGACTGGGATATACTGGGATGTACTGGGATATACTGGGAGGAGGACTGGGAGGGACCAGGAGCGGAGTGGGAGGGTCCTTCATGGGGGGTGGGGGGGTGGAGGATCTGGGGGGGTGGAGGATCTGGGCCCACCCTGACCCCCCCTTAATCCCCCCAACTCCATCCCGCAGGCGCTCAACTGGAAGACGACGACGACGCGTTCGACCGCGGTGCCGTGGAGCTGCCGGCGCCGGTGAGTCCAGGGGACGTTGGGTTTGGGACCCCCCCCCCCAAATCTTCCCGGTGGCCCCTTTTCCTTCACGTCTGACGCGTCCCAACAGGTCCGGATCCCGAGGCCGAGGGAGATCGTGACGGAGTTCTGAGAGGGAGGTGATTGACGCCTCGTCGCCATTGTCGACGTCATCGTTGTCATCATCGTCGTCATCGTCACCATCATCATCGCCATCGACAACATCGTCATCATCGTCATGAATGTCATCAACAACATCATCATCATCATCATCACCATTGACGTCATCATCATCATCACCACGATCAATGTCATCATCATCATCATCACCATCAATGTCATCATCATTATCATCATCACCATCACCATCATCATCATCATGACTTGTCATCAATGCTATCATCATCACCACCATTGACGTCATCATCATCACCATCGTCATCATCATCATCGTCACCACCATCAACGTCATCATCTTCATCATCATCACCGTCATCATCATCATCATGAATGTCATCAACAACATTATCATCATCATTGTCACCATCATCATCATCATCATCATCATCAGGACTGTCATCAATGCTATCATCATCACCATCATTGACGTCATCATCATCACCATCGTCATCATCATTATCATCACCACCATCAACGTCATCATCTTCATCACCACCATCAACGTCATCATCATTATCATCACCATCATCATCATCATCATCATGAATGTCATCAACATCATCATCACCACCATCGTCACCATCATCATCTTCATTGTCACCATCACCGCCATCATCACCAGAGCATCATCATCATCATCGTCAACAACATCGTCATCACTATGAATGTCATCGTCACCGTCATCGCCATCACCATCAACGTCATCAACGTCATCTTCACCATTGTCTTCATCATCATGATCAACATCATCATCAAAATAATCACCACCATCATCATCATCATCACCCTCATCCCCACCCCCACCACCATCACCCCCATCCCCTCCCCCGTGGGATGGGGTCAGGACAGGCTGGACCCTCTCCTGGGGGGCACCTTGACCCCCTCCCCCCCATCATCTTCCTCCTCCTCCTTCTGTGAGCACTTTTAGGGTCAGGACCCCAATTTAGGATGGTGACCTCATTTTTAGGGTCAGGACCCCATTTTTAGGGTCAGGACCCCATTTTTAGGATGGTGACCTCACTTTTAGGGTGATGACCCCATTTTTAGAATGGTGACCACACTTTTAGGGTGGTGACCCCACTTTCAGTGTCAGGACCCCATTTTAGGGTCAGGACCCCATTTTTAGGGTGGTGACCCCACTTTTAGGGTGAGAACCCCATTTTAGAGTGGTGACCCCATTTTTAGGGTGGTGACTCCATTTTTAGGGTGGTGACCTCGCACCCAACAGCACTTTCGGGCCGTGGCCCCTCTCCAAGGTCATGTCCCCCCCCCCCTTCCCTCCCACCCCAAATTCAGGGGTGAAACCCCCCCCCAAACCCACGGGGCTGGACCCCCAAGTTCTTCCCAATAAAGCCCCTCCAAGGACTCTGGTGTTACTGGTTTGTACTGGGATGACCCCGGCGTCGAGCTGGGGAGGGAGACGAAGAGCCACGACCACTTTTTTTTGGGGGGGGGTCATGGGGGTCATGGTGGTGAGGGGGGTTATGGAGGTCATGGGGGTCATGGGGTCGTGGGGTGGGCATGAGGGTCATGGGGTCATGGGGGTCATGGTGGGCATAGGGGTCATGGGGTCATGGGGTCATGGAGGTCCTGGGGGTCATGGGGTCATGGAAGTGGGGTGGTCATGAAGGTCATGGGGTCATAGGGGTTGTTGGAATCATGGGGTCATTGGAATGGGGTGGTCATAGGGTCATAAGGGTCGTGGAGGTCCTGGGGGTCATGGGGTCATGGGAGTCATGGGGTCATGGAGGTCCTGGGGGTCATGGGGTCATGGGGTCATGGGAGTGGGTTGGTCATGGAGTCATGGGGGTTGGGGGG